TGCTGCCTCCACGCATTTGGAAAAAGTCCGAGGCGCGAGTGCGTATCCGAAGGTTGGAGACGGCAGTACTCGTAATTCCTCTCTCCCACTGCGAAGCGCAGAAACCTCCTGTGTTCCGGCACTATCGGCACGTGGAAGTACGCATTTGTCAGGTCTATGGAGGACATCCAATCTCCCTGCCTGACACACTCGAGGGGCTGTTTTGTGGACAGCATCCGAAACTGCCGTTTGGAAATGCACTCGTTCAACACGCGCAGATCCAGAATGGGACGCACCCCGCCTGACTTCTTTGGCACTAAGAAGTAAGGGGAGTACAGCCCCCTGGTGGCGTCCTGCGGGTCTACCTCCACTGCCGCGCCTCGACTCAGCAGAGAGGAGACCTCCGCTTACAGTGCCTCTAATGATCCCCGTACCTGAGAGCGTGCTGCCCGTACGCCTCGGAATGGTGGTGGCTTTCGGGAGAATTGCAGTGCGTAACCCCTGCGCAACGTTTTCTCCAGCCATGGATTCGTCAGCAAACCCTGCTCCCTCCAGATGCTGTAGAAGTCTGTGAGGGGCGGAACGGGAGCTGGAACACGAGACGTCACTGCCCCGCCCTCTCCTGGTGTTCCTAGCAGGGAGGGGGGGTGGACGAAAGGGCCGGGGGGCCCCCTGCGTCACACCGAGAGCGCCGGGGGCGGTCACGTGTCCTGCAGGCCCGACGTCATAAGTACGGGACTGCTCATTCCACGTGACTCGGCTGCTGTGCCCCCCCCTGGCTCTAGCCTCATGGAGGGGGGGGCGAGCCCCTGGAGTGGGAGACCCCGTGTTAGCCTTGTAGCTCAGAGATGCTAACACGCGTTCGGCCGAAGCACACACATCACCACTCACCAGATCCCTCCGCCTGACCTCTCTCTCTGAGGGCATAGCATGAACCAGAGAACCGGAGCTCGTAGCTCGCGTAGCGCACTGCACACCCTGCTCTGGGGGCTGCAGGCCTAGCGAAGCAACGTTATGTGCTCGAGAAGTAACGCAATCAGAATTCACAAGATTATTTGACATGTTACATACCCCCAAATGAGACTCAGACAGCGAGTAATGACGAAATGCCGGTGGGCCTTTGTTGAAGGAAAACTTTCCACCCCGACCTCCTCTGCCATAGGGAGGTCGGCGGTGGGTGCGTTGCTCCCGCGAGCCACCCGTGGGTCTGTCTGGACCCCGGGGGCCTCGTCGAGGGGGGACGATGGAGAACAGAGCGCGGATACGGGTCAGGATGCCTCCCGGGCGAACGCTCTCTGCCTCTGTCCCGGCTCCGTGATGGTTGGTGGGGCTCGCGCCTCGGTGCTAGGTGCGGGGCTAGCCTAGCCGAGTCGTTGGCTGCAGACTCCAGTCTCGCCACCAGGGCCTGCATGTCCGGGCCGAAGAGGGACGTCTGAGAGATGGGCAGGTCCAGCAGCTGCCTCTTCTCCGCCTCCCTGATATTAGCCAGCCCAAGCCAAAGGTGCCTGGCCCCGACTTGGGCTGCTGCCCTGGAGCGGCCACCGTCCACGGCTAGCGTCTGGCACATGCGCAGAATCGCCGCCGAGGTGGTCCTCGCCTGTGACAGGAGGTCTCCACTGAGCGCCTGGCCAGAGGAGAGCGACCTATTCAGGGCCCCCGTGATGAATGCCATGTTGTTAGCCAATGCGAGGACCTGTGCCGCATTGGCGTAACATCTGTCCAGCATCGCCACGACATCCTGTCCCGCTCGGAGGGAAGGAGAGGTCTGGTGCCGGGCCACACGGATGCGGAGGGCTGCAGGGCCATGCGGACTGAATCCTCGGTGTCCGGGCCACCATCCACTGCTAGCGTCTGGCACATGCGCAGGATCGCCGCCGAGGTGGTCCTCGCCTGTGACAGCAGGTCTCCACTGAGCGCCTGGCCAGAGGAGAGCGACCTATCCAGGGCCCCCGTGATGAAAACCATGTTGTTAGCCAATGTGACGACCTGTGCCGCATTGGCATAACATCTATCCAGCATCGGCAAGACATCCTGTCCCGCTCGGAGGGAAGGAGAGGTCTGGTGCCGGGCCACACGGATGCGGAGGGCTGCAGGGCCATGCGGACTGAATCCTCGATCACCGGTCCAGGACCGGTCCTGCCCGCTGCAGTACATGTCGTGCCCCAGAGCAGGCCTCTTGGCTGCTAGGGGCTTAGGCCACTCACGTGTCGCGTAATGGACGAACGGGTCCATCCGCGGGCACAACGTGGGTTGTATCCTCCTCCTCCCTCGAGTGGTGGCGCCCACAGAGGTGAAGTCCTCCACCGTCTGGATCCAGCGATGACGTCCGACGCCGGAGGGCGAAGGGAACTTGGACGAACAAGGAAGACATCTCAGAATGAAGTAAGTACTGTAGTAGATCTCAAACGGCGCCAGAGTGAAAGAGGGGGTGCGGCCTTGTGCAGGGGCATTTATAGAGGACGGTGGCTGGTGATTGGAGCAAATTATTTTGATCTCTCTGGCGTGTGACCTGGGGGTCACGAGTGATATCCCACTAGCGAAGTCCTAAGGGATGTAGCACCATGACCTAGAATCACGCATTTGTTTTTCCTCATTCACCTCTCGCAAAGCAATGTGTTTTTTCCTTAGTTCAGTGCATAATCCCCTATAAACGCACCGATGGTCTCACTCAAAAGTGTCTCAGCCACTGCCCTGTACTCCACATGTAGCAGTTTATTGTTAGGATGCAACGCACTTATCTGTAGGAACAGGCTCAGGGGCAGTGGCTCTGGGGCAGTGCGCAGCGGGTGCCAGGAGAGGTCCCACCGCATCACTGCTCAAATGTGGTGCGTGCCATTCAGACGTTTTGGGTCCAGAGTTTCTCTTTGAAATCACGGACACTTTCCAAAAGCTTACGCATCCCTTCTCTCTCACAGAGATCGCTCAGACGCTTCACCCGGTTAATGATGGGAGCCATTGCTGAGGTCGAGATACCAACATTCATTCATTCACCCACTGCAGCACTCAAGAGAGATGAGTGCTGCAGTGGGTCTAGACACCAGGGAATAAACGCGTATATATAATATAGTGTATATTTATTGTTAAACGTGAATACACTCAAGACTGCGTGGCAAAGGCTTTCTGAGGCTTCCAAACAGAATTCTTGGGTGACTTCCACGCTGACCTGTCGTAAAAACGGGGGAGTGAAACAGGCGGTTTCTGAATATTTATAGGCATGACTTTCAAAAATACGCTATTTTTCACCACGGCATTTATGAACAGCCGTAGTTGCGTACGCTCATATCTGGGCGGATCTCACACGTTCATAAATCCCACGTTGGATCCTGTGCACTTTGACTCTACACCTTTTTCTGCACAAGTTTCATAAATGAGGGCCAATGCCACCCCCTGACCCAGAAATGGATTAATAAAGAGACTTGAACATTTATGAATGAACAATGGAATAAAATACACTGCATTGTAAATCTTTTCACACAGAGGCCTTAAATTCATGTTTATAAAGTAAGTCATGTTTGTTTATATAGCGCATTTTTACAGACCAAGGTCACCCAAAGCGCTTTACAATGTTCAGAGTTCAGACAGTGTTGCTCTCACTCCACACAGCGATGACAGAAGTGAGTCGCTGAACACACTGGACCATCCATTCACTCTCTCACTTATATTAATACCTTTTGTGCATTTTAAGTGGTAGGGGAAACTGGAGCACCCGGAGGGAACCTACGCAAACACATATCCACTCAGAAAGGCCATGTTCCGACCGGGATTTGAACCCAGGACCTTCACGCTGAGAAGTGGGAGAGCGTTTTGTTGCCGTAGATGTTATTGATTTGTTCCAAATGTCGCTCAAGGTTTGAAACTAGGAAAAAAAATCAACATTTAGAGAAAACACATTTGAATTCAATTTTATTTTTAAGCATTACATGTATTCTCCAGGGCCCTCTCATTTCTCCCAGAAGCTCTGCTCTAACACTGTCCAAATAACCTTTCAACCCGTTATATTACTTATCATAAAATACAAATAAATAGTGTCTGGTATCCTCCTAAATTCTAGATCTCCAACTGCACAGGGCCCAACAACACTTTGATTAAAAAAGGTCATATTTGAGATCAAGGACCAGTCAAAGTTTGCACACAAAGCCCACTTTGAGAAGTAAGTTTTAGACAAAGAGCGTTCTACTCTATGCACATACTTATTTCCTCTTTTTAATAAAAATCACTGAACTTAAACTTTCATTATAAAATATACATTGACTATAATATTTATGTATTCGCTGATCGTTGAACAAAGTTAAAAGTCGGTTATGGCTGAAGATACAATCTGCATTCAGTCTGCATTTGAGGCCCATCAAATGGAACCAACACCATCAGGATTTAAATACACAGAGAGAAATGAGAGAAATGCGTGTCCATGAGCGATGTTTCAACACTGGTTCTGTCAGTGCTGCTTTGTGAATGACATGAGAAAAACTCTTCTCAGCCGTTCAGAGTATGATGAGACATGGCACTATAATATGTATTATGTATATTATATGTATTGCGACTGGGTTCGTGCGCATAAGCACCAGTACAAAAGTGAGATTCCTTTTCATTGAAACAGAATGGAAGGCAGAAGGTCCAAAACTTCACCACGAGCACTCACTGCCTGTAATGTTATAACAGGAGGCAGTGCTATCTAGGGCAACATTCTATGCCTCTCTACGCTCATTCTGTTTCCTCTCGTCCTCCCTGTGGTGATGAATCAGGATATGCATAAAAAATAAAACTCTAGACATTCATAGAGGAGCGGAACATAATTATGCTAATTAATAATTGTACGTAAGGCGACTGTAGCTTCTGGGGAATTCCTACATACAGTTTATGGGATGTTCCCCCAAAAGGAGGTCATGTTCCCCTCTTGCCGAGTAGACAGACCCTGAGCGCCCTCGCCTCACGGCTCGGTTCTGTCCTGAACAGGTCTTGGGTGACCACGGTTACGGCCCACACTTCATGTCCTCAGAGCTGGTCTTGAAGGTCAGTCCACGTCACACATGGGACTCGTCCAGGTCCAGGTCGACGGGGGACAGAGGCAGGTGTCGAGGAGAGCGCCGGGGCGAGGCTGGGGACAGCAGTGGGGCGAGCAAGGGGTTCTCCATGCCCCCGTCGTCCCGCCCCAGGTGCCTAAAAATGTGGGCGCGGGGCAGCAGGGCGGCCGTGTCCCCTTCCTCGCCCTCTCCTATACCGGGGTTCTCCCTGATGTGGGACGAGAGGGCTGTGGGGAGGGGTGGAGGCGGGGGCGGGCCTGGGGCTGGGGCAGCGCTCAGCACGGGCAGCGGAGGAGGGAGGGGTGAGGAGGTGCGGGAGAGCGGGAGGGGAGAGCAGGTGCGGGAGGGAGGGGAGGGCGTAGGAGGGCGGGAGGTGATGGCAGGGGGAGACAGACTGCTGCGGAGGCCCCACTGCTCGCGCCTCTCCTTAGTGCTGATGCTGGAGGCGACCTGCGTACACACACACACACACACACACACACACACACACATACATATCGTGATTGTAGGAAGTATGTTATCCTATAGCAAGCTAGCGCTAAAATTATATGAAAAAACATTTATGGAGGTTTTTAACACAAATATAAGTATACTGCGGTGTCGTTAATCTTCTGAAGAGACCCTGGCACCTCTTCTCTCTTTTCTTTCAACTTTACCTCAACAATAATGTGTTGCAAGAAACAATAGGAGCTCCACAATGTGTGTTTGCATGTGTGCATGCACTCTGCGGTGTTGAAGAAAGGACATCATCAGGTTGAATCTCACGTCTATGTAGAAGCTGAATCACTGCATCAAGAACTTCTTTATGGTGTTTTTAATCTCCGCTCCAAACAGACCTTACACATGTCTCCCTACGCATGAAAGACAGATGCATGGCACGGCTGCTAAATCAAATGCATGTGTTGCTCAGTTGCGCGCGCGCACACACACACACACGCACGCACGCACGCACGCACGCACGCGCACACGCACGCGCACGTGCACACACACTACTTTAGTGTAATTTATAATAGTATGAGAAATCCTACTGTGTTGGCCGGTCTGTGCAGGTCTGCTCTGACGTTGGGCAGTCCCAGAGTAGGGGTCTTGACCGTGGGGGCGGGGCTAGATCTGTGGGCCTCAGTCTGGGTGTCAGCTGTGCCTGCTCCCTGGTTCTCTGTGAAGGTGACGGATCTCTTTTGGTCTGCGTGCGCTGCGGGGAAGGGAAACATGCGCACGTGTTCAAAATACGGGGGGGAGAAGGCGGACAGCTAGAGGCATCATCGTGGAGGCTATGGGGCTGTTTAAGTGATGCAGTAAAAACATACTTTTATTTAGCTCAACGCACACTGGGACCCTTTGCTCGCTTATTTCCAAATGGATAATGCACACAGGTGTGCAGCAATGTTCAGACCCACACATCGAGACGGTTTTACTTTTGCACCAAAGAGAAGATATCCTGCTCTAGGACGGACACATGCACTGCTGTGTGAGCACGGCAGAGGAAGCTCCTCTTCTCTTTTGCTGAACTCAATACAATCCGTTTATTAATTGTTAAAAGTGATCATAGTTTTTGAACTTCAACCTCATATCTATCCTTTTGTCAGATTTTCGTGGGTAAAAATACTGCACATTTTAAGATCCTCACGTTTTTCCTCACACAGCGGTCAGTGTGTGTCATCAAATGCTCTGTGAACGTTGAATTTAAATCAGTCTTTTATAGCGTCACTAAAACTTAGATAAAGATGTCCAGATGTGAGTCCATGTCGTTCCTTCGAGCTGAGCCTGCCCCAACCCTAGGCCTGGCTTCAGGGTGGGGCTGTACCAGGCGACATCACGGTTCTTGAAATGATGGTGGATGTTGGACCTACCAGGGGCATAAAGCCCCAGGCGACATGAGCATCCTCAGATTATTGAATAACTGAGTAATGTTCAGTCTTTTTTAAGTTGTAAAAAGTGAATTGAATTAAAGTTACTCCGCTCTTTTACTCTCATCTGATACAACTTTATATTGATTTTTTCTTTAAATGCACAAACAGCAGGAGCTCTACATTCGAATACGGTAAAAATAATAATAATAATGAAGCAAACATTTTGACTCGGGAGAAATGATGTTACACTTAACAGCCCCATAGAGGCGGAGGAGGAGGAGGGGGGTATGGATGAGGAGGGGGAGCAAGACAGGCATGCAGAGCTGCCTACGGGTCAGGTCAGGGTGCAGGGGCTGGGCAAAGCTGGAGTCTCACCTTCATAGTCCAATAAAGTCTCTTTATTTTTGAAACAAAGAGCAAGAGACAGAACAGAGTGAAAAGTCAGTCAGGTACTCATTTTGGAACAAAGACAGGAGTGTGAAAGAACAGGAGGTGTTACTCTGACAGAAAGACTCAACATTCAGCTGGGGGATTACATTTCTGCTCTGTCCAAATGTCCAGCGCTGAAACGTTCACACGGTAGTGTTCAGCGTTTGAGCGAGCGTCACTTCGGTGACTCAGCCGGACATTTGGACACAGTGTGTGCGTCTGTGCCGTTACCCAGAGGTTTGTTCTTGGGCTGGATGCTCCTGCGCGTCGTGGAGAGCCGGGCTCCTGATCGCCCACGAGGCTCAGTCTTTGGAATAGACAGGAGAGGGCGGCGTAACTGCAAAAATAACATTCCATATGTCGAATTTGATATTTTAATATGATTCTATATGCACGTATAGTGAACGTGAATGGACAGCTCTGCTAGGTACTCAAGTACTCTAAATGTTTAGATTCTGTAGCATCTGTAGCATGCCCTAATCCTCTATAAAAAGCATCCAGTTTGGATGCTTTGTATGTTAAAAGAAGGATTTTAAGTTTAATTCTATTCCACAAGAAGCCAGGAGAGTGATTATAGCACTGGAGTTATATGCTCCTTCCTTGCTGCTGTATTTTGAACAAACTGGATGTTTTTTTATACAGTAGAGGATTTAGGGCGTGGCTCCTTACTACCTTCAAGACACCTTAATGTCATACCAACCAAAACCGAGCATTACGCATGTAAATCGCCAGACGTCTGGTGTTAATTCCTAAAGTCTCAAAAAGCACTCTCGGCTGCAGAGCATTTAGCTCCAAGCTCCTTTACTGTGGAATCAGCTTCATCCACGTTAACGCAGAAGACATGGTCTCTATGTTCAAGGCTGGGCTTAAAACAGTCCTCTTCCATTTAACATATGGTTAGGAAGTTAAGACTCAGGGAAGACTGAAAATCTTAGATTGTCAGACAAGCTGCGTCTGGAGTCAGTTTGTTGGGAGAAGTACGGTAACTTGAGCACTATCCTCTCATCCTTCCTACTTTATCTGTGAGAGAACAGCTCCTGTGACAGACTGATAACTGTTAGTAACAACACAAACTAACAGAATAATGCATTGTACTAAATGAAGTTGGTCCAATGCACTAAGGGTAGAGTAGATTTATTTATTATATCTAACAATCAGGAGTGACATGTGGAGTTACCTGCCGAAGTCCTCTCTTCCTCCCCAGAGGAGGTTGGATCAGCAAGTTCTGTTGGCCCGGCTCACTCTGCACACTGGCCACCCTGAGTCCAAAAACAAAGGCATCAAAGTCAGTGAGAGGGAACAACTGGAGGATACTGTCCACAGACTGGCATCAATGACAGCGTTTACTCTACACAGCAGCGGCACGAGGGAAAGCAGGACCTGGAGTAGCAACACCAAACCGAATGTATGCAACGTTTATTAAGACCTTTAAGCACATGTCTTAAGTTTCATTTCATTTTCTTGCGGTTGCTACACCAAGCTCCCTTCTGCCCAGACAGATTGGTCTCCAGAATCGGACGCCCAATTTGATCAGCGAGAAGCCTGATAGACACAAGAACAAAATGAAACACCATGATGGAAGAGCCGACTGTAAAGACCCACATATAAAGAACATGTATAAAGTGGCTCACACACAGTTTTGAACATGTTTGGTTGATGACACAAACATGAACTCAGCAATTCTGTGGTTTCATCAAAAACCTTAGATGCCTTCAAAAAACTAGATCCATAGGGTAATGGTGTTTTTCTCTCCCTTGAGGTGCTTGATGGGAGAAAACAGATTTATGATACATGCGGCAGTAGATCTAAACAAGGGTGACCAGATGTACCCATTTTGGTTTTGGAAATCAAAGGCTGAGGACAATGTTCAGTGTAAAACCCTGTTCTGCTCAGTATTATTACGAAGATAAGTTTCCACCGCAGGAGTTCCTGGTAAAAGGAGCGGGGTGGAACTTCTACAGGAACCGTCCTCTCCCTCGGTCCTCTCAGTGTCCGTGTCTCCACTGCAGTGGGACCACTCGGCGACATCATGAGTTTTCATTGCCGCATAAGCGAAACTCATTACGCCAAACCCTTTCTTTTATTTTAACCAAGTGGGCAAGTGTCTTGCCCAAGGACACAACGGCAGCAGACATGAGTGGGAGTCAGTGGGGAAAGTCTTGTGGTGGGTTTGAACCATAGAAAGTATATATTAACGGACTGTGTCACGCCTATCTCCGCCGTTCTAACTGATGGCCCAACAATTGTGCTCTACTGGAGCTATCCAAAATGCCCGCGAGTGGTCGCGGCCATAAGAAAACTGTGAAAAAACGCATCTGCGCATGCGTCAGCCGGCGAGAGCTCCATTCATTTGAACGAGAGACTTCAAAAATTCACAGCGAGAAAACTAGAGTGGTCCAAAAAAATTCACCCCCCTCAGCATTGACACACATGTGGAACGGAGCTTTGAGCCAAGAGCCAACTTTTGGACCATACTGTAAAGACGTTTTCGAGAGGTCTGCCAATGCTATATGTTAGCATTGGCTAACTCTTCTTCTGGGTCCACCTCCATCGACCCGGGGTGGTATTGCAAGCATGTCAGCGCACGTCATTTTGGCCACTTTTGAGCCGGGACCCGCCCCCACTGGTTTGAACCCACAACCTTCAAGCTCAAAGGCCAATGCTCTACCAACTGAGACACTCAAACAAATGGATTCATGAAGAATGATGCTTGCATTACCGTGTCTTTTGTTTAAGTGTACATAAATGCCCGACTTTCGATTTTGCTACATTGTTTTCTATCCAATCCACTTGTTAGAGCGTTCCATAGCTTTGGTCCAGCCACAGAGAAGGCCCTGTCCCCCGGGTTTAAAGTCCGGTCTTAGGTACCACAAACTGGAGTTGGCCGTCAGACCTCGGCGCGGGAGCTAAATTTGAATGAGGTCCGAGATGTACTGTGGAGCCAGTTCAAAGCTTTAAAAACAAACAATAAAATCGATTCTAAAATGAACAGGAAGCCAGTGCAACGACGGCAGAATTGATGTAATATGATCGCGCCTTCTACTTCCTGTCAAAAATTTTGAGTTTCGGACCAACAGCAGACGGGAAAGTGCAGTTTTCAGGGCAGTTTATGCACATTTGAATAATTCCTATTCACTTGAGAGTGCTGTGCTCAGTGTCTACTTTTACAACAACCCAGAGTGCTATTACCATCCCATAATAGCACCACACTTGTATCATCAACCAAACACATTATGCATGATCACATAGACTGTGTCAGAGAAGTACAGTATGGCGGCAGAGGCTCACCGGGACAGGAGCTCTGCCAGAGTAAAGACCCACACACACGCAAACACACACACACACAAACACAGGTGGAGAGGGCTAGATACTGGACAATGTGGTGAGCGGTGTCCAGCCTCCTGATGGTGATGCCCCGCATATACACACACACACACACACACACACACACACACACACACACACACACACACACACACACACACACACACACACACACACACACACACACACACACACACACACACACACACACACACACACACACACACACACACACACACACACACACACACACACACACACACACACACACTGTACCTAGAGAGGTTACTGTCCTGCAGCAGCGCCTGGGACTCATCTAGCACATTGGGTTCACTGTGGAGAGGGGCATGGGGAGGGAGGGTACAGACTGGAGTTTAGGGAGGAGACCACAGCGGAGATATGCCCCTGTAGTGCTCATGGGAAAACACTCAGGTTAGATTAGGTGATAGTAACATACAGGTAGACGCCCATTTAAAGGACACACATTATTCAGAACTAGCCTTTTCGAGCTTTTAACCAGGTTTCTACATTGTTCCTCATCAAGCCCCATCCACAGGACCTTCTGGCACACATCGGCACCAAACCCTTCTGTCTTAATGCCTTTGATGCTTCAAACTTGTTATCTCAGACCATGTCAGGTTCTAGTCGTCCTACAACCTAGGACGAGTTCCATATTCCAAGTTCTGTGATTGAGTTTTTATTTACTTGAGGACATCAAGTAAAATAAGAATGAATGTGTCTGAAAGTAGATGGGTCTGGCTGGTCAGGCTAATATGTATCTAAATATTTCCTGCTTCAGTTATTTCAAAGTTACCTGGAAATGTATTTATGACATATTCAAACCAGAATTTTTAATCTCTGCAGAACACATTAAAGACACCGGGTCTTGATTTCAGACTTCTATTGTACTGAACTGTAGTTAGTGCAATTTGACAAGGTTCCATTGGAAATCCATTTGAATGAAACGTGATGTCTCTGGTCTGTAAATAAATGATACTTGGAGCTCAACCTGATGATCTCTCCTCGGGCCAAAGCTACAACTATCAGAAGCAGTTTATTTGGGTCATCCTCTGTTGGGAGATATCTCGTTCTCATAAAGGAATTATGTTGTTACATCACATTCAGCTAATGTAGACTATTTTTTTCCTTTACTTTGTTAGATTAACATATTCATACATTTACACAAGCTTTGGAGTTTGTATAATTAAAAATGTTACTGAAAACGAATATCAGCTTCCTTGACAACAATGATGTGAATGTGACGCCCTCAGTCAAAGTGCAGTGTGTGGTCAGGGCTGTACCTGTTGCTGGGCAGCATAGTGGCGCGGGGGCCCTGTGCCTGGGGGCCTGCGGAGCCTGTGGCGTGGCTGGAGAAGCGTCTCTGGGACATAATCGGGGGCAGGAAGGCCTCTTGCTCGCTCACTACACTGGGTATGCTCATGGAGTCATCTGAGCACAGGCAGAAGCACGTCACGTGTTACACTCCATGTTCATGTTTGATATATATATTGTTTAATATACTTTTTATTCAAAGATGTTTAAGAAAACATGCGCAATGGGACACTGTTCATGTACAGATAGAAAAACTAAACATATTCATACTTATACCAACATGCACACACATGCATATACATGTAAACTAGAATCTAAATTTTGATAAACCAATTGTTTTGTCCAGCGATGTGTCTGAGTCATAATAAAATGGTTATTTTTATTTTATCACATTATTATGGATCAATATGGAGATTCAAATGGCACTACAGCGATTAGATCTGCAAACAGAAACATCTGATGTCTGTGTCGAATGCATTGTGAGATCAATAAAGTTTATCTCATCTTGTCTTCAGAAAAATGTGACATTTATCTATAGTAGCGTACGTATTGTCTTTGGTCCCCAGAAACAAAGAGAGGGCGTCATTTGTCAACTTCAGTCTCTCTCCCTACTTCCTTCAGACAAGGTCAGAAATTTGGGGGTAATACTGGACTCAGACCTAAATTTCAATAGCCACATAAAATCAATAACATCAACAGCTTTTTACCATCTGAAGAACATTGCCAAAGTTAGAAATATAGTGTCCAGGGCAGACTTGGAGATTCTTGTCCATGCATTTGTCTCCAGCAGGCTAGACTACTGCAATGGCCTGCTTACAGGTCTGTCCAAACAGACCTGTAAGCAGCTGCAGTACATCCAAAATGCAGCAGCTAGAGTCCTGACAGGAACCAGGAAGTATGACCATATTAGTCCGGTCCTCAGGTCTCTGCACTGGCTTCCTGTGGCTCAAAGAATAGATTTTAAAACGGCTCTGCTTGTGTACAAGTCTCTCCATGGCCTTGCACCAGAATACATTAGTGACATGTTGGTGTCATATGAACCGGCCCGGACTCTGAGGAGCACAGGGACTGGCCTCCTGCTGGTGCCCAGAGTGAGAACCAAACATGGGGAGGCTGCGTTTCAGATCCATGCAGCTAAGATCTGGAACAATCTCCCTGAAAATGTGAGGGAGGCGTCTACTCTGTCAATGTTCAAATCCAGGTTAAAGACTGTTCTGTTTGCCTGTGCATATAACTGAAGGATTTTATCTCCATTTTTAATGCACTGCTGTCATTTATTTTTTTTTTTTAAATTTCTTGTGTAATTTTGAAAGTTTTAATGGTTTTATTCTTTTGTGTGATTTTACTGTTTTAATTGTGTTTTAATCTTTTGTGTGATTTTAATGTTTTAATTGTGATTCTGGTGTTTGTTTTATGTGATGATTTGTGATGTGGACTGTGAAGCGCTTTGTGTTGCCCTGTGTATGAAAGGCGCTCTACAAATAAACTTTGATTGATTGATTGATACGTATAAGTAACTGCTCAGTGCATTAGATCCGACAGAGAGTGTGTAAATGAATAAGCTTCGTACTCTCTTCGTCGTCTTCGTCCGTGCGGCTCAGCGTGTCCTGGGACGGCTGCCTGGACGGCTGGCTGTCCTGCTCCCACACGGTCCCGGTGCCTGTGTTGGAGCGGGACATGGTGGCCAGGCTGAGGCGGTAAGCGGAGGTAGAGGTGCCTACGGTGCTGATGGAGGTCTTCCCCTGGTAAGCTAAAAAACAAGAACACATTGGAGTTAAGGTCGTGTCGTTACATTTATGACAATGTTGCTCTAATCCACGACTGCCAGACCGGTCCTCAAAGGGTTTAGTTCCAACCTGAGCAGGAGGAAGTGAGTCCAGTTTCAAACTAAAGATTTGATTTAGGTTGGAACTAAAACATGGAGCCTCACTGGCCCTCACTGAACCAGTCGGAGCCTCTGAGCTAGCTCAGACTAGCTTGTAACACTGACATTTAGAGGACAAATGTAATCATTGCAGCTTCTGAAAAGCAAAACTAAAGCGTTGTTCCACCATCAATAAAACTTCAAAACGTATGTGTTGTGGTTTCAATTCAAAGCCGTCTGACCTGAGCCACTGTGCACGGCCTCCTTCAGAATCTTGAGTTCGTTGTTGAACTCAGCGAACAGAGAGCTCTTGCAGAGGGGGCGGGGGATGAAGCGGCGTTCCAGCTGGTCAGCAATGTGGTGGCGCGCGGTGATCTCCTCCTGGGAATCTGCCGGCTGCGTTAGCAACTGCCAACAAGACATTATGTAAGCACAGAACATACAACAAACATATGACAGAGAGGTGGGAAGGGGATACTATCAGGGCGGCCATATTGGGATTATCACCCTATTGTTGTAGAGCCCTGGACTTAATCTTACACAGTTACTACTTTATACATTAGAAATTAATGTCATTTTCAATTGAATAAGGAGTTTCAATATTTTTTAGATTTGCTTGGATAGAACTGAAACTTGACCAAAGGTAATAAAGAGACTATAAAGCGCTATAATTGTGGGCCTTCTCCCATTCATTTAAATAGGCAAACAGAGCATTGGCGTGGGGTGGACAGTGTGAGTTTCAAAGGGCACATGTGGCAGCTCTCAGACCACAGTTTGCCCAAGTTTACCATAACAGCAAACTGACTCCGGTTTTTCTTTTTTAATCTCAATGTCAACTGAATTATTATAACACATTTCCAACATCCCAAAGTGCTACAAATGCATTTTAATCAAAAGGAAAAAAGGAAAAGAAAAACCTAGCACAAATGCACAGCAGAGAGTTCAGTTCAGTAGTTCCCATGATTACCAAAACCATACATGGAGGAGGATCCCAGAAAAAGACAGAATCTGAGGAAGAAAGTTACATCAATGAAACCCTTTACAACGTATCGACAGTTAGAATATGGATGATACCCTCGTGGGCACACCTTGTCCTGGCTTTGTTTGAAAATTGTGTTATGAAGGTAACTTGTTATTGAACCTTATTTTAATATGTAGATTGGTAAGTTGCAATTTTTTGTTTGAACTTTATGTTAATATGCAAGTTATATGCTTGTATTATCAAGGTCTACAGATGGAAAGAAGCTGGGGCTAAATCTGGTACAGCCATCTTTTTAATGTACAGTACAGACCAAAAGTTTGGACACACCTTCTTATTCAAAGAGTTTTTTTATTTTTATGATTATGGAAATTGTAGAGTCACACTGAAGGCATCAAAACTATGAAATAACTCATGTGTAATTATGTACGCACTAATAAAAGTATGAAACAACTGAAAATATGTGTTATATTCTTGGTTCTTCAAAGTAGCACCTTTTGCTTCGATTACTTCTTCACACTCTTGGCATTCTCTTGATGAGCTTCAAGAGGTAGTGACCTGAAATGGTCTCCATCAGTCTTGAAGGAGTTCCCAGAGATGCTTAGCACTTGTTGGCCCTTTCGCCTTCACTCTGTGGTCCAGCTCCCCCCAAAACCATCTGGATTGGGTTCAGGTCCGGTGACTGTGGAGGAACAGCCCTTACACAGCCTGGTGTGGATCTACAGTCAATAGTCATGAAGAGAAACTCATTGAATGAGACAGTGTGTCCAAACTTTTGATCTGTACTGTAATTGCACATCGTCCTTAACAAATTTAACTTAAACTAAAACAATAGAGTCATAGTGCCAAATTTACTAAAACTAAACTGAATATCTGGCACCCTCTGTGTGCGTGTTGGGTGCCAGGAGTTAGGCTTCACCTTGCACTGGATGAAGGGGCGGAGCAGCACGAAGATGGGGATGCGCGTGCGGACGATGAAGTCGATGAAGTCCCAGAAGGCCAGGCCGCCCACCTTCCTCAGAGCCATGTCTTTGACCTGCAGACTGAGGCGGTACCACTGATTCCCCAGAGAGCGCTCAAAGCACACCAGCACCACCTTCAGGGCTGAAAGAGCACAAGGACAATTATACATTATTCACACTAGTCTCTGATCCTCCATCCTCCAACATTCTTTGTGCAGAACCTTCTCATAACACTGCATGGTTCTGATCAGTGTTGGGGAAGTTACTTTTACACATACTGTGGAATGAGAACTGAGCGAGAGTTGTGACCGATGCAACAGCTCCAGTCGATGGTCACAGCTGCCCGTGGTAAATATAAAGTAACACTGCGCTGGAGCAAAAAATAAAACTAAATTGTTGATAGTTAACGCGTTCCTTTACTCTCCCCTGGAAAGAGTAGTTTTGTTAGTATAATGTGTTTCTTTGTAATGCATCTCTACATTCTACACAATTCTAGGTCAAATCTAATGATGAAAATAAGGATTAATCCCTAAATGAACTCCCTCTACGGTAGAGTCACCCCCTGAACCTGGAGACAACACAGGAAAATACTTTTACTGCAAAAACCGGCTCTCATTGTGACATCATCCATCTACACCTCCGGACTGCCCCGCCCGACCCGCCTGGGAGTGCTTCAGTCCTGCACCGGACCTGTCCACGTTCAGCGGCCACTGGTCCACGTTCTGTAGCTAGCTTAGGTCCTGGATCATTAGCCTGTCCGTCCGGAGGAGCGGATCCCTTTCTCAAATGGGTCTCCCTCCCTGTGGGTTTCCCTAGTTCTCCCCAAGGTTTCTCACTTTTTCCCACTGGGTTTTTTAAGAGTTGTTCCTTGTCGATGCAGGAGGGTCTTGTTGGACAGTTAGTGTCCAACAAAAAGGATTGGTGATGATCAGGACACTTTAGCATTCTACAACATGTATGGACATTTTCTTCTGTGTGTGCTTTATATTCTCCATATGTTTTAACTGTTGATTCTCTGACCTGTGTTGGTGATTCAATGGTTTTGTTAAGTCCTCTGAGATGACTTCTGTTGTGACCTAGGGCTATACAAGAATACATTGTATTGTATTGTATTATCAATGACATCTGGTGCCAACGTACACTTGTGACGTTTAAAAACAGGAACAGTGTGCAGCGTTGCGTTTGTCGAGTTGGGGTTAGTTTGGAAGATGGATACTGGCAGTTTACTTTATGGAGTAACAATCTATGGACGGGAACAGTTAACCAGAGGCCTTGTGTGCAGCAACTAATCGTTTAATCGATGAAGAACCAAGTGTGTTACAGACCCAGGTATGCAGCCTGGCTGGTGGACTCGGCCAGCCCCTCCCTCCTCAGGTCCTTCCCCGTGTCCCCCGGGGTGGAGCAGTGGGCGGGGGAGGCGTCAAGCATGAAATTTTTGGTGCGGGACGTGGAGATGATGCGAGGGGGCAGCAGGATGTTAATGACCGTCTGCAGGAGGAGGAAGATCTCCGGAGGCTCCAAGTGTGGGCTGTCTATGAACGCACAACACAAGCAATTTACTTTTTTTTTTCTTCTAAATGTCCCTTTTGGTGTCAATATTTTAGTGTTTAATGCATTTATTTTTGCAATATGTGAACTACATGAGGGTTGTTCCACTGCCACAATAAACATATAAATAAAAAGTGAAAAAAAAAACCCAATAACCAACCAATGAAGAGATCCTTTATTCATCCCACAGTAGGGAAATTTCAGTGTTGCATCACAAGTTATAGAACAGTAGGAAAGAGGAGCACACCGCACAGGATAAGTGAACAATAGTTAGACTAGTTAAAATAGAAGCATCAATAACAAGTATAAAATCTCCATCTTGAAAATAATAGTAATAAAAAGAAGTGTGGCTATATATGAATGGCAATGAACATTGTGGCGCACAGTGTTTTTGTACTATTGGACGGTGAGAGACATGCGTCCGAGACGGCGACACACTACATCCAGTGGACATTCAGTTTTTCCCAATTCATTGGGAAAAGATCAGATACCATCCAAGAGTGAAGATTGTGTCAGCTGTGATTGGCACTGCTCGGTTTCCTGGAGATTAGACGGCTTGTAAAGCCCTCCGAGATAACTACTGTTGAGGGGTTTTAAGGTGGAGCAAACACTTTCATGTTGCTCCCTAAAGGATTCAAGACTTTAACGCATGTCATTACATGTCTATTTTAACTATAATTCTTTTCATGAATGCAGGAATACTGTGCGGAATAATGGTTTATTCTGCATGTGTACTGTTGTTATTATAGACTACAATTGTAGAGTCAGTTCTGACTAATATCAACAAACACATCCGAGAAGGACAGTGGGCGTGGGAGACGGGGAGAGTATAAGAAATGGCCAGTTGAACAGGCTATTTACCATTTTACTCCAAATCTCTAAATCCAAACAGCTCAGACAAGTTGACATTGTGTACCTTTGCTTCCAGAGCCCACGGTCAGCACAAAGGGGATGAGCAGGTTGAGCAGCATCCCTTCACGTCGCTCTTGATTGGTAAAAGGAGAGATCACATGGTTGAGGGGGAAGTCCTCTTTCAAAGCCTGAGAGAAGATGAGATGACATTTTAGACAGAATATATTCACATTGCTCACAAAAAAATCGAAATTTAACAAGAAATGGTTATCAAATCTGGCCTGCAGCGCATTTCCCCACTTTAGAAAGTGCTCTGTGAATCGACTGCCACTTACTGCTCACTACTGTATCTTATTAGAAAACATGTTCTTTTGCAAAGGAGAAATGCTGCCTTAGCCAGGGAAAAAAATGTATGGGTTACTGTTTATGTTCAGTTACGTGTCACCGCATCACAGATGCTAAGTAACGTACAATCAAAGCAACTCATCCCACAATAAAGTGACTTTACAAAGCTGTAGATTCGCCAACACTGATCAGAGAATCAAACACAGGATTTGCAATGATAAAAAACACAAAGAGCAATTGGGGCGAATGACCAATGTCCATAAATGTTGTTAGCACTAGCATTAGCTACTGTATAGGGACAGCAGAGCGCAGCAGTAACAGGTCAAGAAGTAATTCGGAATGTTACTTTTGATTTTGAGTTCAGTGATGCTCTGTATTGAAATTCTTGTTCTAATAACCCTAACCCTGAAAGAGTGAGGAAACTAAAGAGTGGTATGATATGTAAAAGGAATCATAGTTCATTGGAACATCTTGAACCAGATGTGTTATATATTAGTTAGTGACCTGTATTTGCAGAGCCACCAGGCGGACCACAGCGGTGCTGAAAGGCAGAGGGGGCGACAGGTACGGGCTGAGGTGGAGGAGAGGGAGCCCATCTGCCACGCTGGAGGGGCCCACCACACCCATCACCTGCATCACACACACAGACACAAAGACACACACACGTACAGACACACACACGTACAGACACACACACGTACAGACGCACACACACACACACACGTACAGACGCACGCACGCACGCACGCACGCACGCACGCACGACACACACGGGGCAAAATCAGTAGGTCATTGCTCCCACAAGAAGATGCAGGGGGTGCAAAGGCATCTCTGCTGTCAGAGAAAAGATATGACTCAAACATGCTGGAATAGCTCTGAAAGTTTAGTTAATTCAAGTTAAGTTAGTTTAGTTTTGTTTTCCCCAGGGTTCTGTTCTTTGTCCTTGGTTCTATCCAATTCCATTCTTACGCCCTTAACAAAATCAAGAATTTCTCCATCACCACTGATAGCTACTCCATATCTCCCTCCCTACAGGTCAAGAGTCTGGGTGTCATTCTCGATAATACTTTCTCCGTTTTCTCCAACATTAACAACAGCACTCGCTCCGCTTTATTTCATCTCCGCAACATCCACTGCCTCCGCCCCTATCCCACTCCACAGGCCCCTCCCTCCCTCCACAGTCCACTGCAGTCCTGGTTCATAGTCTTGTCATGAATCCTCTCTGCCCTGGTCTGGACCAGTGCAAAACCACGAACACTGTACTGTAGCAACATCTCAAGTGGAAAAAAGCAAGAAAAATAACAATTGTGACGCCCCTAATCAAAAACTGTTTCAGAGCAACCTAGAACTGTTGTTTCCAGCCCATTCAGAAAAAAAACAAAAACAAACTGAATAATGTGTTAGTCATATTAGTTTTACAAAAAAAAAGGACTTTTGATAATAATGTTCACCTGAAAAACCTATTTAAAATAAAATCACAGATGCAGAAGATTAGCTTCAAACAAACTTGCCACAAAGAAAACACAGGACACTTTGGTATTAAAATGGAGCAAGAACAAGTTGGCCTCTGACCCACTGTATACTTTGTCAACTCGGTCCTCGAGAAAAGCTACCTCTGAACTATAACAGTCAATAGTTGTAAAATGCTCATGCATCTGATTTGCAATGCAAGAATTGAAAGTCATTTGGTATATTCTAAAACTCTCTATCAATAACCAAAAATCTGGGGCTTCGAGAGTTCTCACCAGATTGACGCAGACGTTGATGAGCGAGCGGAGATGAGGGAGGAAAGAGATGATTGGCTGTCGCTGCAACGTCAGGCAGATCCCCTCGATCAGGTTACTGGCCGCCTCCCACTCCACCTGTCTCCTACGGCAACCGAGCACAGCACAATTAGTTATGCATGCAGTCACAACACTCAGGCCAACTTTGTACGGAGGTTTAATTCGGGCTAACTGTAGTAACTCGTGATGCCTCTTTCTAATGTTGCTAACTCAGACTAACTTTTCCTCTGTACAGCTATCTCAGGCTAACTTTCTAATGCGGTTAACTCGGGCTTACTCTAGTATGGCACCAATTTCAACTTCTGGACAAATATGGTTTCCGGGGAGAATCCAGGAGCAACAACCACCACGACCAGATGTTCTTGAAGCCGGTGCAGTATTTCCTGTATGAAGTAAACCAGGAACACTGAAACGTCGGTAATGTGTGTATCCAAATTTACTCTGGAATAAAATTGCGGTTGAGCAACTGAACGCCTCTGAAGAGCAGTAGAGAGGAGCCAAACGCACACACTTTGAACGACAAGCCAGAGCTGCGTGCTGGACCTGATGGTGTGGCCACATCTGCCAATGCATCATGGGTAAATGGTGCAAAAGATTGAAAAGCTAATTTTGCAAAAAAAATCTCTTTTAAAAGGTTTTTAATGTATTATTAGATAAGCTGTAGACAAAACACATATGGGATAAGTGCATTTCTAACTGTTGTGTCATGATATATACATGTATACAACATTACAAACAGCAAAAGCTCACAGACACTTACACCACAGATGGAACACCTGTGAGGACATCTGGGCCTTTTCTCAGCCAACTGTAGGCTATTCATGCAGTACAGGTTTATTAATATGACATTGAATAGTTTGACTAATGCATAAAATAAGGGTCAAACAATAATGATAATAATCCAATATTACGGATTTCCAATAGAATGCAGTATCCTCGAATTTAGTTGGTCCCACTCTATCCACTCTCTATGAGCCAGGGAGCACAACTGCACATGCTCAGAAGGCCTGGCCACTGTGATGGAGCCCTGGAGGTTTCCCATTTCCAGCAACCATCACTCCAGCATCCAATGGAAAATGGTTTCAGATTTATACTAGCTATGCAGCTACAATCTGGACCAGTCTCCCTGAAAATCCTTTCTGAGTGGAGTTTGCATGTTCTCCTCGTGTCTGCATAGGTTTTCTCCGGGTGCTCCGGTTTTCCCTACCACTAAAAACATGTACAATAGGTCTGACATGTTGAACTGAACTGGCGACCCCGCTCCCATCTCTGTGTGGAATGAGAGACAGGTGCCCTCAATTGTAAACCGCTTTGTGACTCTGGTCTGTGAAAGGTGGTATATAAATAATGATTACTTACTTAAAATGTGATATTGTTCAAATCCAAGTTAAAGACGGTCCTGTTTAGCTGTGCAGACAACTGAAGGATTTTATCTCTATTTTTCGTTTTTAATGGTGATTTTGGTATTTGTTTTATGTGATGCTCTGTGCCTTGAGTGATGTGGATTATGAAGCGCTTTGTGTTGCTGTGTTGGAAAAGTGCTCTACAAATAAAGATTGATTGATTGATTATTAATCATGAACCCCATGAATGTCATCATAATCAATCATAAAGTCACAGCAGGGCCTCAACCCCCTCTCCTCCCCTCGTCCTCCCGCTGCGACACTTAAATATTTCAGTTCTAATGTCATGGCGCGGTCCGACAACCACAGACACGACACAGTGAACAGTATGACACCCACAGACAGCAGCACTTACAGCCTTGTACAATTTATCTACCAGCGCACCGCACACGGCACAGCACAGCACGTCACAGCAGCAGCAGCACGACACCAAGAGAAGACAGCGGTACCCCACCTGGTGCACAGAGCCTGCGGGCGCGCGCACCTGAGCGTGGGCATTTTGTGGATCTTGTTGAACATGCGGTCGAGCCTCTTGAGGATGAGGATGAGGGCGGGGCGCACGGCCTCGGAAGACCAGTCGGTGATGGGCAGCATCTCCATGATGTAGCGGCGCAGACCCCGACTCTCCATGGTCAGGGTGTCGTACGGGGCCAGCTTCAGCAGCGCGTGGGCGATCTCTGCGAGCCTGCCCAGACAAAACACAAATATGCAATCATGTGATTTGTTTGAGGAAGCTAAAATATAGAATCATGCGTAAAAGGATTTATTTACCACTTACTAAGTATTAAAATGTGCTACTTATTCAATTATTGTGCAAATTTGGGGAAATTCATATATTTTCTGGGGATAATTAACATGCAAATGTGAACAGATTTAGGGTCAAATGTAATCATGTTTTTTGTTTTGGGGATTGTCTGTGTTTTTTCTAAAGGATTTGTATCTGCTCTGCTCTGGAACTGCTTCTGCTTGCTGCTTATGCTACTTGCTGCATGCTATAGCTGTTCATAAAATAAACTCCAACATAAAAGAAGAACATTTTAAACGGACTGAGTAAATTCCTCTGCATATCCTCGAGTTGCCCTTTCAGCGTGGGGGCAATCACTAAACAAGAAATATGCGTGACTGTAAAAAACGGCTGCTTCCTCAGAGTTGATGGTACAACTACTCATAAACTTTCATCATTTACTCGCTCTTGTTAACTAGCTCTTGTTTACCAGCTCTTGTTTACCGAATAAATAGTCCGGTTTAATAGTCCGGGTCAACCATGATTGTTCTGAGGACGCGTGCACAGACACAATTAGCGCTACAGAGACAAACCACTTCATCAGTTTCTCTGTTCACCGTCATCTATAGTTCCAGAAGATGGAGTTACTGCTGCTCTGTACAGAACCTCATGTGTGACTTGATATCCAGCAGCTCCAGTGCAGTCACTCTCGGTTCTCCGGCCACGTTCTGCAGGATCTTCAGCCTGGGGCCACAGTGTTTGTAGAACTCTGTGCAGATGTTGAGCAGGGACTCTCGGGGCCGCCTGAACTCCTCTCGGGCGATCCGCTCGTCCAGCTCCTCCCTGGGCATGCCCTGGCCCTCCTCCAGAAGGTGGAGGTTGTCTCTAAGGAGTCGCACACAATCACAAGACAAATATTTATATATTTTTTAGAACGTAAAATAGATTCTCAAGTAGAGGACACATAGAAAGAACAACACTCCCAACTATTAGCAGAAGTGGCAGAAGTATAGAAATAATTATTGATAGATTGATTGATTGCACAATCTTCTGTACTTTGAACCAGGGAAATTCCAAAACCAATTTATAGCCAAACATTTCAAATCAACAGTTTGAAAATGGCTTCATAATTTATCTTTTAAAACAAACATTCAAGACTCATAGTTTTTGGTCGGTATTTCATTGAACAGTTTATGAGCACTGTCTGCATAAACAGCATTATGGCTGAATACTGACAATAATGAGAGAAAGAAACACATTGGAGGTAATCAAACATCTCCAAATTTCATTCTCTTTGCCAAAATCAGCTTTAATGTAAAGATAGAGTTATTCCCTCTCACCTGGTGTTGACGCCTCCTGACATGGCGTGATTCGCTGTAGTTCCGCTCTTGTGGCCCTGGTCACAGCGGGAAATCTGTGGTGCAGTCATCGGCCTGGTGCATTTCAAAAATATATAAAAATCTTTACATGCTTTTAAAAGTATAAACTACAGCAAAGTATACAGCCAATGCAACGTTTTGGGAAGCATTAGGGGGTTGCCTACTTAAAACAAGAGACCACTGTAATCCTAAAAACAAAGCAGTGGATCAACTTTTTATTACTTAAAATCTGTTCTTTCCCTTTTTTTGCTCAAACACATGGAACAAAACTGAGAATCTGCTGTTTCATAATGTCACCGTTACCTGCACAAACAAACCCATCTGACAAAGTTAGCCACCAAACTCAGATTTCAGCCTTTTGCATATTGTTCACATTTGCCGAGCTGCACCATGGCTCTGTGTGGGTTTGACATTTGGAACAACCATTTATTTTGGATTCAAATTTGTACTGAATAAATGTCATGAAAGAGAGTCCATACACATCTCTGCCCTAGTTCACATTTTGAGCAGAGACAGACATTTTGGTGCAGATATATGGATTAGAATATGTCACTAATGTAAATAACTGTTAACATGATACTTTATCCACTCCTGACCGTGTGAGAGTCTCAGAGCTGTAGAGCAGGGCCTGCAGGGAGGTGGCCAGGGCTGCGATGGCCGCGATCTCGTCCCGGGCTGCGGAGGCCGACTCCATGGTGGTGGTGTTACTCTTCAACTTCTGCAGAAAACAAGGGACCAGAGCCTCCAGCACCATCAGCATCTGCAGACTGTGGGGCACAAACAGTGTAAAACAGTGCTCTGGGATCATTTACTGCTGCTAATATTGCACATGACAGGAGTATGAGGCGGACTGGCCATCTGTGAATTCTTTAATGATATTTGAAAATGGTTATTTCTTGTACATGACATCGACTTTATTTCTGTAAATCACTTTGGGTTTTGCAGATGTAATTACATGTATTCAAACACTTTATTTTATAACAAAGCAAGATGAAATCACTGTATGAAGAAAAACGGTTCAAATAATTAAAGATATGTATGTTGTAAGTATGAACAAAACCTGGCCTTTGTTCTTTTTAAGCCTTTCTCCTTGAGGGAGCAAAAGCCTTGCCTAAATTATGTTCTAATAAGTCTAACTTTTGAGAATAAGAAGCCAACATCTTGAGATGGACATATTAAATGACTGGATGGCTGACCATAGCTGTATTTTTGAGGAGGCCATTCCGTAGCGATAAACCGGTAGATTGCGATTGACGTATTGAGCACCCCGAGTGGATGCAGGATGGGTCAAATGCAAAGACACATTTCCCTCGGAATAATAAAGTACACCTTAACCTCTATGATCTAAAGCCTTGGATGACATTTCTACAAAAGAATCATTCTTCTTTTAGTGTAATACATTTCCTACACATCATAAAAAAATATCTCCACTATTTCTGAAGAGTGCCTTCGTATTAACGTAATATTTTGTTTAGTCCCGTGTCCAATTCTTACTTGTGTAAAATAAACTCTTTCATGGTCATGCTGCTCTTAATTCTGACACACCTCTCTTTCTCTCTCTACCGCACCTCTCTCTCTCGCTCTAGCACACCTGTCTCTCTCTCACTCTCCCGCACCTCTCACTCTCTCTTGCTCTACCGCACCCCTCTCTCTCTCTCTCTCTTGCCACCCACCCACAAGCACAAATGCTGATGCTTAATGCTTAATGGTAAATTAGAGTAGTATATATTGTACCTTCTGAAAGACTCAGGTGCGTAAGCGGCCACAGTGACGCACAATTTGATGGCTTCACTGATAGAGAAGGCCAGGTCTTCGTTTCCATAACAGAAGTCTAGAGCAGAGAAAACAGCTGGGTCATTTCAGGTACATACAAGGTGTGTATTTGTGCAACAGAAAGCAGACGTTACCCATGGAACGCAGTGGCTTCTCTGCTTTGACCAGCTCCAGAGCGTCCAGGGCGTCCTGCGTCTCCCCCTCCAGAGAGACCAGCAGGTCGAAAAGGCACTGGGCAGACACGCCTTTGGAGAGGCCTGTGCTGGTGCTGGTCTGTAAGTAGGACAGGATAACGCATTCAGTTTGTCTTAAATATGTACAGGGAATCAAAAACTAGATATTATCGTGTAGCATTGCCAAAAAGGGTTAAATGAGGGATGTTTTTAGACAAAGCTAAATGTCAAGGCCTGGATGTTTTTAGACAAAGCTAAATGTCAAGGCCTGGATGTCTATTTACGAGCTTTGATGAGAATGACTTTGTGTCGTGAATATAAGCTAATATACTGTATGTGCCGCGAGATGTTTTCAATAAAAAAAGTGTGCCTTGGCTCGAAAAAGATTGAAAAACACTGTTTTAGAGTACTGTCACTAATTGGTTAGACACTAATTAGTTAGACTTACTGACATTACTTGTTGATTTTAAGTAAATATTTGTATGCCGCACAGAAGATACCACAAGTATGTTGTCGTTATCCATCGTTAACAGTCAGGAGGGTTATTTATCCCATTCACATGTTAAAAATCACTGAAATGAAGACGGGAAACCATCAATAAAGTATCTATCTATCTATCGATCTATTTGCCTCATATTAGGCCTCAAACCCTGTCACTGACTTTAAGCCTACATTAGCTTGAAGTACATTACAGGGCACCGACACTTCTATTCAGGCATTGAAGGATTCTCTGGGTGTTTGGAGCATACAGGAGCCAGCAGCCAACTTAGAAGCGAAGGAAAGAAAGCACAATCTTGTGGTGTGGCTTGACTGTGCTTGACTGGATCTATTCCACACAAACTGATTAAATGGACGAATCTTATAATCCTTTTATTTACATTCAGCGGATAGTCACCAGAAACTTTAGCGACATGAGCTTGAGTTCCCAAACCTCACTTTAACAAGGTTCCAGCTGCTTATGTCAGCAGCCTGAAAAGAGGCTGTTGCTTTGCCCTTTGCCTTTGTTCTCAGAACTAGGCATTCAGTAATAGGGAATTTCATTTATTTTGTAAGCAAGATGGGTTATGGCTGAACTAGAACCAACAGAAAAGTGTGCAAGGATGATATTCAAACCCCAGTTTCTTTGTTTACATCCCCATGAGGCTTACGCTCAGGATGGCAGGATTAACAAAATTCCAGGTAATAGGATATTAAGTGCTTTGACTGCACTTCCACACAAGCTGTTATCTCAATAAAGAACTTGATTTTCTTTGCCTGTATCCATGAGAATCATCTTCACTTCGAATTTCTGCCACCAATGTAATACTCCCAGTGCTCTTCAAGATGCTTTTAATATCAAGCTGCCAAAACAAGCTGCTGTTTGACACAACTCACGCTAAACTCACAGAGATTGTCAGACGCAACAAACTGAAGCTAGTCTTTTCACAGTGTTACCAATACCAACACAAACATCTCTTGTGGCAAAGTGCCCTTCAGAACAAAGCAAGAAGTCCTGCTTTGAATGGGACAGGTTACTGGCTGGGAGGCCATCTGAACAGTATTTCAATTTTCTGATTGTGGGGTGCTTAGCTTTCAAGTAATCCACACTAGACAGTCACCTTTGCCACTAACTTTGTATCTGCAGCAACAGCAGACTTACGTTTTATATTATCCTGGTCCCTGTCAATATCTCTTGCTGCAATTTTTTTGATACAGTGCACTTACTGTGAACTCCAGCAAGGGCGCGACACTGGCGAAGAGCTGTAAGATGAAGGGTTTGCGATGGAGGATGTAGAACTGTCGGCAGCAGAACTCAATGCCTCTCCTCAGTAACGGGTTGCTCTCATAGTCTGCATACACCTACAACACAAGGAAAAAGTTGCATTACTCATTTCACTCGAGGCAGCAGATAAAGCAGAAGAAAAAGACATTCCCAATTCACATCATACACTCTACCGTCTCTACGGACTATAATTTTGGTTTTTCATGTGTACACATATTTATAATAAAGTACAATGAATACTTACAAAATTAACAATTTATATTCTCCTTATCTTTATATCTCTTCCGATCGTCTTAAGATAAAGTGCTAATACATTGTGCATTTTGCCCACAACTATTTTAAATCTACTTGTCGCATCCATGCTTCTGTACGACAAACAAAGATCCTCCTCCACTAGGCCCAGCTCACAATCTCCATCAAACACCTCCTGATGTCCATATCAAATAAATACTGGTCGGTCATGTTCCAAGTTCAGAAAAGCAATGGTATTGTTGCTTTCTTCTTTGTGTATGAAGAGCACAACAATACTATTGTGCTGTCTGTTGTTGCCATCGATGACTGACAACTACAGTAAAACTATGTACAAAAGGATGAACTGTAAGTAAGTGGTAATGTTTATTTATATACCGCCTTTCACAGACCAGAGTCACAAAGCGGTTTACAATTGTTATTTTTGGGCACTTGTCCTCTCACCCCACACAGAGATGGGAGCGGGGTCGCCAGTACAGGAGGCGCATGCCAGACCAATTGTACATATTTTTAGTAGTAGGGGAAACCGGAGTACCCGGAGGACCCTACGCAAACACGGGGAGAACATGCAAACTCCACTCAGAAAGTCCCTGGTCCGACCGGGATTCGAAGCCAGGAACTTCTTGCTGAGAGGCGAGAGTGCTCTCCACTCACTAAAATATTTTATTTTAGACGTTAAATAAGAAATGTTTGAAATGGAGTAATTTGTCCCTTTTCAGAGTAAAACCAAAAAACATTTTACAGTTACTGCTCAGAATCGGTAGCCTGGCTCTGCCAGACCCTTGTAGTTCCGCCATGCTCCACCAGAGGCGTTTGGCTGAACCACATGGGTCTGGTATCGACGCCATAGCAAACGCCTTCCCCAGATTATCTTTTAATCGACCAATCAGGATTGCCGGTGTTACGTGGGGTTTGCACTGCCTCTCAAGTTTCTCTCATGCAGCAGCGAGAGGAATCCAAGATGGCGGACGTAAAGTCTGCAAATCTTTTTAAAAGAGTAAATACGATCGAATTAAGACACGCATATCACTTTTAATGCAATTTGAGGCGAGATCTTGATGGTTCTATGTTGATATATGTGTGTTTTAAGAGTCAAATGTTCCTGTAAAGTTTGGTTGAAGCACTGGTTCAGTGTTCCTGTTTACACACGATGCAGCAGGGTTGCCAGGTTTGGTGGTTCCCGCATATTTTTTTCCAAGAGACTTGTAGGTATTAGATAAACAGAAAGACAATAAACAGAATCATGATAGCCCAAGTTGATTACATTACGTTTTTAGCCAAAAAATCATTCTGAGTGTTTTTTTTTTTCTTGCGGATTTTGGGGTGGAAAATCTTGCTGGGATTTGGCAACCTATGGGAGCCGTGTGCTTCGATGTGAGTGGTTGAAAGCAGACTTCATTCAAGATAACGGACAAGTGGTCTATCCAATCACATTCAAGGATTTTTTTAACAAGGCCCTGCCTTCTGAAATCCAACCACTATGGCTCAGTACCAGACTCATGTGTGAAGTGCAGGGAACTACATGGGTCTGGCCAGAGTCAGGCTACAGAATCGGAGCATATGTGAGATTTTCTGCAAAATTGCTTTTAATTGGTCCCTTTTGCTTTTGTTTTACTGACAACTTTTTCACTTTTTTCAAAATATTATCTCTCAAAAACTCATTTTGAATAAGACGATGTTTTGTAAAGCCTGGTTCACACAAAACAATTTTAAAATTGTCGGCCAATTTTTTCTCTGTGTGAGACCTCACACACGGAGATAAAAAAATCAAGGGTCTAACCACTTTGGTCGTACAGTGTGTGGTGCGCTGCCACACGGCAAAATCACGCAAACCACAAACATCACACACGAACCGATTCCCAGCGTGACTTCAGAGTAAACAATCATGGCGGACGAAGAGGATGCAGTGGCAATAGTTTGTTTTTAGCAGAGAAAAGACGTAATCAAAAGAAAAGGCGATGGTCAAAGAAGTGTAGACAACGCGAGCATGGACTATACTTGCTACATCCTGATATGGAGGTGAGTTGTTTTTTTTTACGGTGTTTCCTCGCCGCCTCGTCTCGTCTTCTGATTGGCTACACGCAACGCGCTCGTCTGTCCTCGGGGGCCACCACACACGAGGAGAAATCGGGCCAAAACAATCCTACATGTTGGATATCCCCGATATTGAGATCGGAGCAGTCCCAAAGTCCTTCCGAGCGACGAGCGCAGTCTTAACACACCACACACGGCAGGAAAATCCATCAGATTTTTTGTTACGATATTCGGAGCGTTCTTACGATTGTCGTAGGGGTAAATCGCGTCCAAAATCGGCCTAATTATCCTGCCGTGTGAACCAGGCTTTAGGCAGTGTAGTGTACATTCAATACAATTAAATTATATTCGCAGAGCCCATAATCACAACAGTAGTTATCTCGGAGCACTTTGCAAAGCTGTCGATTCGCCAACACAGGTCAGAGAATCAAACGGCGCATACATACTGATGACCAATGTCCATAAATGTTGCACATGTGAACAGTGTGGGGACAGACCTGCAGCATGGTGGGCAGGATCCACTGGTAGCCGCTCAGAGAGAACAGATGGTTGAAGTGCACGGCCGTGTTGATTGCAGTGGCGGTGTACTGCCTGAGGAGGGAGCTGTCCTCTGGGTGCAGCAGCAAAGCGCCATTAAACACGTTGAGGAACAGCATCATCTCGTCTCCCCAGGGGTATTCACTGGGCATGCCCAGAAACATCTCCTCCAACAGCTTGATCCACAGCACCTTGTGCAGCGTGTCCAGGCCAAACAGCTCTTTACCTACACACATCAGCAATATTACATTTTATTATACTTGATTTTATTTTATATTAATTGTTTTAATTTTATTTTACCGGTAATTGATCTTGATTTGATTTGATTTGAATTGTTTTTATCTAAGCTGGCAGACATTGTATGTTTTAATGTGTTACTTTTATACGTGCAGCACTTTGGAAACATGTTTCATAAAATGTGCAAAATACAGAAAGTGGATTGGGTTGGATTGGATAGTGTTCAGAAATCTGTCAGTGAGCACTTCTCCTTCGCAGAGATAAAGTCCTGGGTTAGGATTGTTAAGGGTCTAGGGCTCTGACCTTGCGGTTCATTAAAGAGACTGAACTCGGCGTCCACAGCGGTGCGGGGGAACGAGGGCAAGCGGAGCAGGTCCTCCTGAAGAAGGGACACGTGGGACTGTTTGTGCACCGCGGGCATGTTCTGAGTAAGAGAGATGAGGAAGAGGACACGGCCCACCTCCTCCAGCTTCCGGGAGAACACCTGTGCACAGGACGAAGAGCCCACATCACATCACTGCACACGTGTGACATCACATTATTATTCCACTGATAATTGATAAGATATTTTATGTAACCCATGACAGCCAAATTGTAGAAATTATATAATTTGGTTTTATTGTTTATAAATAAAATTGGTGTTGGCAAATCTCTTTGTTAATTATTTTCTTGTGCGGCAGGGTAGTAAAAAGCACATTGGCCCATCCTTAGCTCAAACCATTTTGTTTTAATCCTCACTAATATGAATGTGTGTACCTGCTTCTGGATGAGCTCCTGGCCTTTATCAGGAAGCATGTGGACCAGGTTGAGCTGAGGAGACACTGATCTGCGAAACGGGTAGATGTCTCTCACGTACGTCTGCAAAAGTGGCAAAGAAATCATCAATCAGTCATTTCTGTGCAAATTTCACCTGAATGAGTCAATCCATTTACCTTGGAGTAGTGGATCAGGTTCCATCTCTTGTCCATAAGGAAGTAGTGCGCGGACCTGGCCTCAGGGATGTTGAAAAACTCCAGACACTCCTAACAAACGATATAAACATAACCCAAATGAAACTTGACAAAAAAGGACAAATACTGGATATGTCCAAATAAAAAGGTTTACTTTGAGTAGGGCTTCGAACTGCGTGTCCTCGTGAACGGGCAGCTGTGTGGGGATGTCGCACTCATTCTGCCCATGGACCACCAGCGTTTTAGTCCCTGCATTGACGGCCACACGGAAAGAACACAGTCAAAACAAAGAAATCATATGACTCGGTCTGCACACAGTCAGCTGAATTTCTGTTCTTGGTCAAATACTTATTTTCCATTATTCAAATAAAATGTTTAAAATGGGATTTGCTGGATTCTATTTCACATTATTCCAGTCACTGTTGAAGTCAACCCATGATAACAAATCAAAGACATAATTTGGTTGACCATAGGATACCATCGATGGGTTAATTGACTCTAGTGTTACCCAACCGTTTTGAGATTACAATCATAAACATAAAGATTTGATTTTGAATTTATCACTGAAAGTTCACACACAAGTGAGAGACAACTGTGAAGTGAAAGTAAAAGGATTGTGATTGGGCACCTGCTCTCGAGGGCATTACAAGAAGTGAATGGGTTCTAAACACATTTCAGCTCTGCACATGCACGGAATATGTATATTTCTACATCAATAAAGTTTATCTTATATTATCTTATCTTACAAAGGCTGAAGAAAGCATGAAGTATGATACTCTGTAATCTGGAAGCTGGTTGTACTGACTCTGAGAGAGCGCTCCAGAAATGAGAACTTTTGGCCACTGAGTTACAGACTCTTTGTCGTTCATGCATAGCTTCACAAGAGGAATAGGATGGACCATGGAAAAGACCATTTTCATGATCCGTCTGTATGTAATGGCTAATGCAGCACTGACTCAGCCCCACACTTTTCAATGGTCTTGCACCCTTTTTTTCTTCCACATTTATTCCTTTCTCTTAACTTTTCTATGAATGTGCTTTAATTCTCGAGTCAGCAGTTTTCCACATGATTCTGAATTCCACTGAACCAGACTGTGACCATTTAAAGTCTGGAGGTTTTTGACAGGGTATCGGCTGATGACAGGGTGACACTTTGATAATATCGCCCCTTTTCACAATATAGTGATAAAATGAGCTTTTGACAGTGGGGCCATCACAAGAAAAACAAACAAACAAAGGCTAACCATACCATTAACTATCTATCTATATACATTTATTTAACCATCTATCTATCTATTTATCTATCTATCTATATTTATCTATATACATCTATCTATATTTTATGTCACTTTCCATGCCATTAGTTTTGCATTGTAAGTTGTATTTCAGAATAAAATGATGTTTTTCACTAAATTCCAACTATGGGTTTGGTCTGTATGTGTGAGAGGGACTGACCGGGCATGGAGGCGGTCACCAGCAGCTTGACCTCACACTGCTCCTTCTTCATGGTCTGTTTGAGGTCTTTGAAGAAGAGCCCCTCCACGTAGCGCACCACCTCCCACAGGAAGGTCAGCGTGGCTGAAATGGCATCCATCCCCCACTCGCATGGCGTCCGCACAAAGTACATGATGAGGCCCACCTGCAGGAAAAACATGCATCCACAACTTCAAAATAAAATAATAATATAAATGAATCATAAAAGGGTCTGATGGTCCGACATATTTTCTACTTAAGTAAAAGATAATAACTTAGCTGCTGGGGTATTTCATTTCCCTGACTCCCTCACTCTCACATGCATTTTTGGCCTAAATCACATCTTTAGATCAGCTTTTGAAGACAGAAAATAAAAACATAACATAACAATGGAAAAGAATTAAATACATCTTAAATATAAATTATATATTTATATGTATTTAAAACATTTTTTTTTTGCAAATTTCCTTTCAGTTTGGTTATATTTTTGTTGAATATTTTGACTTCCTAGTTGTAAAATATGACATCACAGAAAGAAATACCTGTGTAATAAACAAATCCAAAATGCATATACATACAATTATGAACCATATATTTTGAACATATTTAGGGGAGTAAATAATCAAACATGTGTCATACTGACACTTCTTTCTAATTGTACATAATATATCCTACACTAACATGCTGCACATTTCTTACTTTTGCACAATTCTTGAGTGTTCGTGTCCTTGCCAATGTGACATGTACATTTTCCTGTGTGAGATAAATAAAGTCTTATCTTATCTTATCTTACTTAATGATTAGCTGAAAACAAGTGTATTTCCAAACTGTGGTTTCATCGGTTTAGGATTCTCATTAAAGGTCCCATAGGGTTTTGGTAACTAGTATTTAAAACACAGTTACTTTCTGAAAATCATGTAATACATACTTTCTCATATTTTGTAAAATGTTGTGTCCACGCATCACACATCCAACAAGTCCAGGCGAACGGCAGCGAGCGCACGGAGGACACTGGTTTAACAACATGGAGGAGTCAGACTTGGAATCGGCCTCATGTCATTCAAAGCAATCAGGACATGGACGTTCAATCACCATTTCATTCTATTTTCTTCTAAGTGCTATTGTAAAAAAAAGCCCCCACAGCAACCACCAAACTAGCATCAGCTAAACGTAGCAATCTACTGAGTGTGCTGTGTGTGTGAGACTGTGTGTGTGTGAGACTGTGTGTATGTGAGACTGTGTGTGTGTGAGACTGTGTGTGTGAGACTGTGTGTGTGAGACTGTGTGTGTGTGTGAGACTGTGTGTATGTGAGACTGTGTGTGTGAGACTGTGTGTGTGTGAGACTGTGAGACTGTGTGTGTGTGACTGTGTGTGTGTGTGTGTGTGTGTGTGAGACTGTGTGTATCAGACTGTGTGTGTGAGACTGTGTGTATGTGAGACTGTGTGTGTGTGAGACTGTGTGTGTGAGACTGTGTGTGTCTGAGACTGTGTGTGTGTGAGACTGTGTGTGTGTGACTGTGTGTGTGTGAGACTGTGTGTGTGTGAGACTGTGTGTGTGTGAGACTGTGTGTGTGTGAGACTGTGTGTGTGTGAGACTGTGTGTGTGTGAGACTGTGTGTGTGTGAGACTGTGTGTGTGAGACTGTGTGTGTGTGAGACTGTGTGTGTGTGACTGTGTGTGTGTGACTGTGTGTGCTGTGTGTGTGCTTTGTGAGACTGTGTGTGTGTGTGCTGTGTGTGTGCGAGACTGTGTGTGTGTGACTGTGTGTGCTGTGTGCTTTGTGAGACTGTGTGTGTGACTGTGTGTGTGTGCTGTGTGTGTGTGCGTGTGTGTGTGAGACTGTGTGTGTGTGACTGTGTGTCCTGTGTGTGTGTGAGACTGTGTGTGTGTGTGTGTGTGAGTGTTAGTGACTGTGTGTGTGTGAATGTATGATTGTGTGTCTGTGTTATTGCCTGTACGTTACCAAGGTTATAGATATTTCTAGAGGGTGCAGTGACCATTCTCGAGGAAAGTCATAAAAGGCATTGATCCAATAAATGTATTCTAAGTATTCTGAATACAGTTTTATCTAAAGTAATGGAGTACTTTACAGTTTTGGAGTACGTTGGATGGAGTACGTTTTCAGTATTCTGTAACGATATACATTTTCAAACTATTTTACCCAACACTGCCCATATTACGCTTTTTGACTTTTGATTGCAGTGCTTTTGTCCTTCATACTCATGCCAGGAGTAGTTTATCATTGATTCCCTAAAGCTTTAGTTAGAGAGCGATATTTCTCTTAATGCATCATCTCAAGAAATGCTGCACACGTTGTTTATATTTTCAGTGATTTCATATTAAGTGGGGTCTAGTCGAGTCAGCCAGACCATGTGAGGAATGCAGAGCTCCCCCAGCCAGATAAGAGTTGTTTGGAGAAGGAGATTGATGTCAGACCAGACCAAGACCAGACCAGACAGAGTCCGGAGTCCAATGGGCTAGCTGGAGTACGCGCCTCCCAAAACCAGAAAAAGCTGGATCAGACTGGACCAGTCTGGGACCTGTGACGTCATCAGACTTTCTGATAGAAACTGCTCGGAGGAGATTTTCAGGCAGTCTGAGCAGGGATAGTTAGACAGGGAACATCGCAGAGCGCCTGGATGTCCCCTGCACATTTTTCAGGCCTGGAGGGACAGTTAGAATGGCTCAGCATAGGGTTAGTTTTAGAGAATTTAGGGCTCCGAGAGTTTTTGTATCAATATTTAATTGTAAAGAGAATTAAATGTTCTATTTTTAACTCCTGCATTCTTGGCCTTATTTCTGTATCAAATTCTGAACACGTCAGTCAAATCATTTTTTGACATCAGATGGTGACCCTTGACGTGATTTGATACAGAAAGAAGACGCAAGATGAGCTCAGATAGATAGACTGGGTCTGTTGGGTCTGGGGGCTCTCTACTCTGCAAAACACAGGTAAGCAGATACCATTTCTAAAATCTGCACATTGTTTTAAATAGAAGACAGAGAGATCTCGGCCCAACATGACTGCAGGTGTGGACAGACCCGCCGTGATGGGCGTTTTATCGGACGCGATAAAACAATAGTCAGGTTTATTTGACGTTTTACCTTGAGGGAATTTTGGGGTCCCCTCTAAAAAAACAAAAAGGGAAAACAAAGTCCACAAGGGTTTTAGAAGTGCAAAAGAGGCACACCGTTTTAAAGTGCAAAAGAGGCACAAGTGTTTAGTGAAATTAGAAATAGGGACAGTTAGGGTCAGGAAAAAGGGTACATTTAATTTAAACAAAAAAGCCAAGTATTTAAAACTGTTCGATTTTGACTATTGAATAATAATGATCTGATTAATGAGGAAAAAGAGAGCCACTTGGCTGTAAATACGAGTTTCCATGTGGAGAAATGACCAGATCAGTTATGGAAGTTCTCTTGTATTGTGATGTAATGTTTCAGTAGTTACAGAGGTATTACGAAAAAGATCCGGCTGTACCTAGTGATGCATTCTTCATGTAAGCAAATTGTAATGTTTTCCATTACTGACGTATTTAAATAAATGTAAAGTGTCGTTTGACGTGAGAGAACTCTCACCACTGATAAAACATTGTCACGATAAAAAACGAGGAAAATGTAGCAAATTTTAAAGGGGATGTTCATGAATTTGGTGTATTTCAGTCGTACATGTACTCCTCTGTTTGAGAAGCCACAAAGCCCCTCCTTCTGCCTCCTTCTGCCTCCTGGCTCCCTCTCTGAAAAATGCTTGCATACAGGCCACTCAGCCCCCCCCCCTCCCTCTTTCTGTCTGCTCTCTCTCTCTCTCCCTCTCTCCAGTTAAGAAAGAGGCATACCAAATATTTTTTGTAGAAAATTACATTTATACACACGATAATGTTACTGTCATGGAGTCATATGATCACAGAACTTTGAGTTAGATTATAAAGAGGCATTGTGTTATTCTTTTGACCATCTCCAAACGTCTAGACAAGTTATTAAACATGTTTCCCAACGTTTTGGTGATATAAAATTTAAACTGATCTTAAAGAACAGTATACTTTTGGAAAAATAGAGCTTAGGATAGCAGTTGAATACAGATTTGGTTTTCAGAATTTAATGTTTAAAATGTTAATAGTAATTATTTCATAGGTTTATTTAGATTCGTAATTAATCATTGGTTTTGTATTGTATTAACACACTTGTTTGTGTTTCTTGTTTGTCTGTTTTTTCTGAGAAAACTTCTGTCTGTTTCATTGGCCGATCGCCAAAATCGTCCCTGCCACAAACCACAACCGAGCATCATCATCATCATCATCTCCAGCAGTATCGGCTGCAGCAACAGCAGCAGCATCATCATCATCCGCAGCAGTATCGGCTGCAGCAACAGCAGCAGCATCATCATCATCATCTGCAGCAAAGTACAGGCCACAGACTTTTGCACAAACTGGGTGAAGTTATGTGCAGGAAGAGGAACGGTGTGTGAGCCGAGCAGAAGGACACGACACATTTGGGTGTGTCAGATTGAAAGAAGAAGAAAGAAGAAGAAAGACATGAGAAAAGTTGTCGAAAGAAGAAGAAAGTGATTGAAAAGGAAAAGACATTATGAGAAAAAGTTATCGGAAGGAAAAAGAAAGATTGATTGAAAAGAAGAAGAAGAAAGAAAAGTGATTGTTTGAAGAGGAAGAAAAAAGGCATTGAGGCAAAGGCATTGGACACTTTGAGACAAAAGACATTGAAAGACGCCATGAGTAAAATAAAGAGACATTAACAGACATTTGAGGAGGACGTGGCCGGGCAAATGAGACAGACAGAAGGTAATATACAGACAGGCAACAAACGCACAGAGACATATTAAGTCATATTTACACATTTAGCTAGGTCATTCGTTCATAACACCACATTTAGCTGCATGAAAGAATACAGGACAATCGTTAAAATTAATTAGACTCTTGCTTTAGCATGAGACACAAGGAGATTAGAACAGCAGTATATTTAAGGTAGAGGAGCTCTATTATTGAAACTAGTATTATTATTTAAAGTTATAGACGCGGAGAAGTTTAGAATTATTGATTTTAACTGCATGATCTTGGTAATACGGATATTTAAGGCAGTGTATTTCAACCTCTGAACCGTGGCTCGTTAATCATTTAAGAACAATCACATGCACAGTTGAAACTGGTGCTAGAAAGAGAACTGCAGCTTTTAATGGACGCTGCATTTAGTACAAAATGGTTTGTTCAGACAATTAAAGTTTGAAAAATGATTTAAAGCATTTCTAAATTTTGGCTAAAGGTGATATTAGACCATTTTTGATGGCACACTAACGCACCACTGTCCATTGGTTGAAAACAAGGATGTAGGGACATTTTATGAAATCTTTTATGACATGTTTCTCTTCCAAATAGCTAAATTAGAAACAATTAGGACAATTATGTCTTTGATACAACTGTTGGCAGTTTATCTGAGACATGATTGGTGCAAGTACACACACATAAAACAATGGTCTTTTCTCCACATGAACGTGAAACAAGGGTGAAGTATTAAAGTTTGAGACTAATTCAAATTTTTAATGAATCCGACCTGGCTTTACTGAAAAAGAAAAAGAAGGAAAAAACATTTATTGCACGTGCATGAGTTTTTTTTAAGTAACAAGAGCTCATTAAAGATATAGGGGACACAGTCTGTGATAAGCCCGAGTACAGACCACGTGGTTTAAACACTAGAGTTTGAAATGGATCCTTTTAGGAAAAATCTCTTAAAGCTCTGCATGTTCTGCAGGCTCTGAAAGTTGCAACAATAAAATAACTCATGAGACAATTGTAATTGGACATGGAAAAATATAACAAAGTTAAAATTACAGGCCTTCTGTGTTATGTCTATATGTTTGTGTGTGTTATATGTTTGTGTGTGTTATATGTTTGTGTATGTTATATGTTTGTGCGTCATGTCAAGTACACTACGTTGACCTTAACAAACTCTGGACCAATATACTAACTGGGGAGTCGGCCTGTGTGTGTGAGTGGGATGTGGAGTGTGTGATGTGAAATGAGGAGTGAGGACGAGGAGTGCTGAACGGAGAATGGAATAACAAATGTTTCTGTAATGTTTTAATGTGATCATGGAATAATTATTTTTTGTCAACAGCATACGGTGTAAGTACTAGAGATTCAAAGATAACAAGCTTTATTGAACAGGTGTAAAAGTGAGAGTACTCTGGGATGAGTACTCTGAGAAAAGTACTCTGAGAAAGTACTCTGAGATGAATACCTTGCTGAAGGTACTGGGAGTCCCTCCCTCTGCTGTTTGTCCTGACAGTGATTCGGTCCAACCGCAGTGAGCGGGCATTGGACGGAGGACAACTTTGGTTTGTAACTCACATTTAGTGGAGTATAAAATTAGAAACATACATTTTGTTAAGTCTGTATTTGGCTACAGCCTCTGCCCTGATGTCACACACCGTCTGTCAATGCAGTTATGTTTTACCCCATTGGAAAAAGATTGACAGGCCGCTAAAAGCCAGGGAAAGTGGGCATTTTTTGTGTTCTAATGTGTCTTTTTCAGATGAGAGATAAACTACACCTGCTTCAGGGATGACAGTAGTATGGATCATGAGGAAATGAGCCTCTACTTTGGCACCAAAGCCCACAATATGAATTGAGGACGATCCGGGAGGAACAACTGGAGAATGATTGGAACAGTAAATCTACACACACACACAGATGCATGTTTTATACTTGGCCCACGACCAACAGAGGGAGTATAGTAATGTTATTGTCATAGGTGGTCATGGTCCTTAACCTTCTAAATCATTAGAAAGAAGTGTAAAACATATATTTACAAAATTCTATATTTGTCCCATAGGGGGTCATTCTAAATTTAGTGTTGTGCAAATTCAAAAGGAGAAATAATAGCGCTTATAACATCAAACAGATATACTCGTTAAGATAATAGATCATATAATAATAATAATAGAATAGAATGAAATAGTCTGGAGCTGTAATGTCATTGGATTCGAGGAGCTATAGGTTGAAAAGTCGCTAAGAAGAGGTGTCAGAATAAACAATAGTAATAATAGTTAGAGTAGTGAATAACCATCCATCCATCCATCCATTTTCTTCCCCTTAATCCATTTCTGGGTCGGGGGGGGGGGGGGGTGGCAGTCAGAGCTGCACCCAGTCCACAGAGCACCAGCCCCTCACTGATCCTCCTGCAGGTGGTGAGTCCACCGGAGTGAATAATTAAAATAGTTCTATTGTGGAAATAAGTATCAATAAGGTCAAATTGTTCTAATAACTAAAGTAAAAAGGAATCAAATGGAGTCAGATTTTAGATGTTTCTGTTTTCCACATCTGTAGGAACTAGTGCAGATGTGTTTATAGAGAGTAGTATTAAAATGCAGACATAGAACGACAGGCTTTAACAAAATTTTAAATCTAAAAATAGCTAAAATATAACATTGCTCTTGACGCAGCCTCTGAGCTGCTCCATTGGAGAACAGGTTAAATGTTATTGTTTATTACAAACAGCTGATGTATTCACACATATTAAGCTTGGGACAACTCTTTAAACAGTTATAAGAAAAGTGACAGAAGTCACAAATTAGAAATATGCCCTTTGCTCAAGCTGCAGCCGAGCTTTGGAGTTAAAAAAAAATAGCGTAAAAATAGAAATAGATAAATGCATCAACCATAGATGCTTTCAAAAATAGAGATTATTTTTAGCCAGTGCTAATAGCAAACGGTAAAAGGACCATTTCCTTCATATTATGTCCAAAAGTATTTACTTCAAAGGTAGATAAAGTTCATTACAGTTTATGCACAGGTTTATTAGATACTGTCAAATTCGCTTGTTTCAAACATGAATGTTAACAATGCCAAAAGTTAATGAGATAGATTAGAAACAACAGAGATTCAAAAACATTTAAAAGCATTTTGATGTATTTGGGTAAAGCACAAAAGTAGATATTTAGGTATTTTTGAGAATTTAAAAAAACTGTTGATTTGTCAGCAACAGATTAGAGAATCAAATACCGTTGTATAGGGACTGACCCCAGAGAAACCTGCTAAAATAGATTAGCTCCTGTACGGATAATACCAATTTGATTAACGATGTACATTTATCCCAAACGGTCTGAGAGAAGGAAGTGACAGCACTTCCTGGTTCAACAAAATGTATTTGGAAAAATGAGCAAAGCCCCACGAAATGGCACAAAGCCACTGATAATGACAGCAAACCACAGTATAGACAGATTTATTAGATAAAAACATATGTTTAAGAATAGGGCTCAATAAAAGCAAAATATGCAAACATATTTGTAAATAGATTAGAATAGTTTAAACTATAGTGAATAGATTCAGTGCATACATTACAGACGAGGTTGAAGAAAGACTCAGAATGACAGCAGTGGTCATCAAAGAGTTTAGTGAAGGAATGTTTCGAATGTGGTTTGTTGTGTGTTGTTTGTCTTCTCTGTATTAATTCTTCACAGATAACGAGCCAGAACCAAGGCGATGATGGAAGAGTTCCCCAGTCCCGTCACCCAGAAGGGATATTGAAAGATTGTGACCTAAATTGGTTTAATATAGGTCAAAAGAGGGAATAATGCATCATCTCAAGAAATGCTGCACACGTTGTTTATATTTTCAGTGATTTCATATTAAGTGGGGTCTAGTCGAGTCAGCCAGACCATGTGAGGAATGCAGAGCTCCCCCAGCCAGATAAGAGTTGTTTGGAGAAGGAGATTGATGTCAGACCAGACCAAGACCAGACCAGACAGAGTCCGGAGTCCAATGGGCTAGCTGGAGTACGCGCCTCCCAAAACCAGAAAAAGCTGGATCAGACTGGACCAGTCTGGGACCTGTGACGTCATCAGACTTTCTGATAGAAACTGCTCGGAGGAGATTTTCAGGCAGTCTGAGCAGGGATAGTTAGACAGGGAACATCGCAGAGCGCCTGGATGTCCCCTGCACATTTTTCAGGCCTGGAGGGACAGTTAGAATGGCTCAGCATAGGGTTAGTTTTAGAGAATTTAGGGCTCCGAGACTTTTTGTATCAATATTTAATTGTAAAGAGAATTAAATGTTCTATTTTTAACTCCTGCATTCTTGGCCTTATTTCTGTATCAAATTCTGAACACGTCAGTCAAATCATTTTTTGACATCACTCTTTCATTCTTGAGAGCCACAGAATCTTCATCAATGCACAGTCTATGATCGGCGCCTGCAGCCTCTAAGCCTCACTTGCTGTATGCCACATAATTACAGTTCAATTATGGATCAAGGACATAGAATCGCCATTGTTGGAAAAAGTTTATTCTCAGGTCTGAAATGACTATGTACCAACAAAAGCTGAGCAGTTTGCTTTGGAGATAAACTAGTCAGCGTGAGGCTACATCAGTGCGTGGGCAGGGGGAGGCGGGCTCACAGGCGAAGCAGCGGAGATCAGCTTTTCAATTGAGGTGACATCAACTTTATGGAAGACATGGCTATAATATGAGTGTAGTAGTCCCCAACCCCCATTATATTATTATTATATATTATTGCCTTTACTTGTTTTGTGAAGCAGATGCCCTGTGAATGAATTGTGCTACAAACTATATTTTGAAATAGAGTCTAAACAGGTGCCATTCTACAAAATATTAACTGTCGGATGCACTGGATTTGGCTCGTACTGTGTTAGTGAAATCCAATGTTCCTACGACACTCACCAGGTAGTTGAAGAGAATATGAGAGGTCTGAGCGGGCAGGTCCCCAATATTCAGCAGAAGCTTCCTCAGCATATAGATCAGCTCGTCCTGGACACGCACATGGACACACACACACACACACGCAGGCACACGGACACACACGGACACAATTGTTTATCATTTACAATCGTGACCCTGGGGTTGTAACATTTGGTTAAATGTAGCTTACCTGGCGGTTGCTAACTGTGAGCTTTTCCAAGAAGTGTCGTAGAACCAGAGCCGGGTCTTCGATGAGGCAGTTCCACAGGATCTGCTGGGCGACCGCACTCACTTTACAGGGAGAAAGAAAAACATATGGTACTCATTTCTATTTAATATAAAACATACCTAGAATACATATAAAACGAAATGGCATAATTCAAAATAAGTCAGCACTCACCAACAGTGGATGCATTTATTTTTAGACAAAGTATGTGAATTTCTCACGGTGCTGCGGCACAGTGGTTGAAAAACACTGATCTACAGGACCTTGGAAAATTGTTTTTGAGAGATTAACTTGATAGAAACAGTTTACCAGCGCACTCCGTCCTGGTGCCCATTTTCTGAATCCACAAGCTATTGTCACATGTGATCACTATCCATCTGTGAGGACCACTGGAGCAGAACCAGGTGTATGTGATTAGGAAATATGAATTGGGAACGCGAAACACAACATTTTCTTAGTTCACAAATGACCTCAATAAAGAAATCTTTTTAATTGCAACCACAAAAATTGTGATTTTCATTTGACTGCAATGAATCTTGCAGCCATATCTTATAACGGGGAATTTACAAAGTAGGCGTAAACAGCGCATACGCGTTTACTGCGCGCTCTCTGCGCGTAACATTTTTTTGGAGTATCTACACAGGCCGTGCGCGCAGATCTGCGTCTTCTGATGCTCTCCCTGTGTAGTCTATGGAGCAGTGTAGAGGATAGTACGAGCCAGAGGACTGATGTAGAGAACACAAATCACATGCATGTGTTTGTCTTCATGGTCTCTGTGCGCTGGTTTGGCCAGACGCCAGACTTTATGAAAGAAAAAAAACGATGTCCAGAATCACTGTAAAACCTGCTGCTCCTCCTGCTGATGTTTAGACACAAGTGCTGTGTGTGTGCAGATGTGATCTAAAGCCAAGGACCGCTAGAAAAATAATGTTTTACATGAGATTTCAATGGGAAACGCGTTGGTGAGTGCACAAAATTAGAAATCCATCCTAAATTAGAGCGCAGCTTCGCGTCATACGTCCGTCATACGCGCGTATAACGCTAGAAGTGTAAATATCATCATAGGTTAACATGGAAAAAAGTTACGCGCGTAATACAGTCACAGTAAACATTGACTACAACAGACCAGCAGCATGTACCAGCAGGGCTGGACTGGGACAAAAGAAAGGGGTCAGCAACTCAAAAGGTTCCAAAGAGCCATATTTGACAAAAAAACAACAGCTGTCTGGAGCCCCAAAATAATAACAGCCTTGCATAAGGCTTATATGAAGGTAACACAGACTGAAGCTGTATTAGCTATATTAGCCTAATATCTAAATGACAAAGTAAAGGCTACAAATACCCAATAAGCATTCATGATTATCAAATGTATATTTACACTGCAGCGTGTCCTGGAGAGAATGACGCACCACGTGACGGCTCTGCTTTAACTTTAACTTCCATTTTTTGCCTTCATGCAATTGTAGAAATACAGTAAATAAATCTGCTTTTTGCCTCAGAGTCCACATACCTGCATCACTGTCTGTTCACATCGATCACATCACAGCCTGAAGTTTGCTGGAGCTGAATGTCCTTAATGGCTCTTTCTTTCACGTCTTTGCGGAGGTTTTGTACGTTATGAATGAATCCTTTACGTAATCACCGTGAACGGTGTTTAGCGCTTCATTGTTCCTCGTGTTGCAACAAAACTTCTCATTACATCACAAACAGGAAGCAGTCCTTCCTCATTGACTGAAAGCAAATGTTCATTCTTATTCTTAAGCCTGGTTCACACGGCAGGATATTTAGGCCAATTTAGACCCGATTTACCCCTTACGACAATCTTAAGAAACGCTCTGATTTCCGTAACAAAATCTTACAGATTATCCTGCCGTGTGTGGTGTGTTAAGACTGCACTCGTCGCTCGGAAGGACATCGGGACTGCTCCCGATCTCAAATCGGGGATATCCAACATGTTGGATTGTTTTGGCCCGATTTCTCTTCGTGTGTGGTGTCCCCCGAGGACAGACGTGCGCGTTGCCATGACTGCGGCGTGTAGCCAATCAGAAGACGAGACGAGGCGGTGAGGAAACGCCTCCATATCACGATGTAGCAAGTATAGTCCATGCTCGTGTTGTCTACACTTCTTTGACCATCGCCTTTTCTTTTGATTACGTCTTTTCTCTGCTAAAAACAAACTATCGCCAATGGATCCTCTTCGTCCGCCATGTGTGTTTACTCTGAAGTCACGCTTGATCTGGCGAGACTTGAGATTTCCGTCTGATCTGTGAATACTCGGGGGGGAAATCGGTTCGTGTGTGGTTTGCGTGATTTTTGCCGTGTGGCTGTGTGGTGACAGTTTTTGGAGTAATTACATAAAACCAGCCGCAGCAAATACACGGACGTCAAAGGCCTTTTATCAATGCAGAGACGCCCTTCTGACGCCATGCTGAGCTTTGTGAGGGCCCCCTGCTGTCTGTCACACCCTTGTGTCTTTCGTATCTTGAATCTGTATGCCTGCTTATATCCATATGTCCCTGCTGCCAGGAAGGAGCCGGGCCCCCCCGACACCTACAGACAATGGCTATCACTCTTGCCCCCTTTCACCTCTTGCATATGTATCGGTCTGTATGTGTGCACTCTCTACATCCTGCACCGGTGGCCCCCCTCCCATCTGTTGTGGGCGGGACTGGCTTTCGTGTGTGTCTTGTATACAGGAAGCTCGGGGCTCTGGCCCCCAGAGCTGGGACATGCTGCCTTGGAGTGGATGTGCTGGCTCTCCGCACGTGCGTTAACAATAAACTTACGCTTTTGATCAGACAAAGGACCTTTGAGTTTCCTCCTTCATTGGGTAGAAACTTCCTTAACAATTTGGCGTTGCTGGCATGTCTTGGCATGGATACTTTCGGCGGGGACGAGCGGCTTTGTTTGGCCGACCTGGATCACCAGCCTCTGTTCCTTTTTGGAGACAAAGGAGGGCGCGCTCGTCCCGCGCACGGAAGGAATCCTTTTGCCACACAAGACCAAAAAGAACCTAATCTGGTGAGTCTTGTCTTTTCATCTGCGTAACGAGCCCAGGGCAGCACTTAAGTGTACACGGGGATTTGTTTATTTATGTATTTTTGGGGTATTTCATTCATTGCCACAGCATAGTCTGTGTGCGGGATTTTTTGGGGGGCTTTTTGTTCTAGATTGAAACTAGCGGCTGCGCGTTAGTATCGCATTGTAAGCGACCCTGGAATCTCTGAGTGTCTTCAGCCAGAACCGCTCCGTTTTCAAGAACGCGCGCTCGCTGGTTGAACCAGCGGGGGGGGGAACGGAGCGCCCCAAAGTGGGTAGGAGCAGGGAGAGACTAAGCGGGTTAGGCCCATTGTTCGTACGAGAAAATGGGTAAAAAACAATCTAGAAGACGCAAGCTATGGAGTGCTTGCCTATGGTGCAGGCCATTACGCATCTTGCGTGATAATTTAGAAGAAGAAGGGAAGAAAAAAAAATATACTTGGTTTTAAGAATATCACGGCAAAAGAGGTTAGAGAAAGAAATATGTAAAAACAATAGCTCCTCCGCCTTTCACCGAAGCGGAGAACACACAGGCGGACACACACACACACATCCCCCACACCCCCACCCTACCCCTACTAACAATAAGTGTGCACCCAAACAAGGCGTTGGGTTTTTAAAAAATGAAGCAGACTACTGTTGTCTCTTTTCCCTCTCCCTTATCCAGGTCTGTCGGCGCCTTTCCTCCGCGCTCTGTCCTCTGCCTCAAAGCACCAGCCCCACGCCCCAACCACAGGCGGCGCCCGCACCAGCTGAGACCCCGCGAGAAGTGGGCCCAAACCGCAGAAGAAGAAGAGGCGGAAACAGACACACGCTCAGGAAACCACAGAAGAAGAAGCGAGGGAAACAAATATGTGAGACACCGACAACTGCTTTGGAGCACAGAGAGAAACTGCTCCAAATCCCGTGACTGTTCTCCACGGAGGGGGCAGCGTGATATACCAAACGCACCCGCGGAAACCCGCTTGAAAGTTGTTCCCGCACCGCAAACAGAAGAAGCCAAAAGTACCGGCACGTTTGGGTTATTCACCAACCCTCATGGACCACATGCTAACGCTTTGGGCTACCTGGGCCTCCTGCGGACTTTGAAAAACTTCCACAGCCCGGCGGAAAGACTGTGTGCTCGACATGGGTCGAAGGACTGTTACCGGAGGAGGCGTTAAAGGCAGAGGAACGCTCAAGCTCACACGGGGCCAGAGGACGGCAGAGGCGGGCACGGAGGAAACACGAGCGACTGACCAAACCTGGGTTCACATTCGTCACCAAAGCGACCGCTCATGTAAGTTGAACAACAACAAATTGCAATTGGCACTTTTTAGAGATAATTCATGCCCGTAATATACGCTAACAATCTGTGGTGTACAAGTTAAAATTCTGGATGACTCCGGGGCAACAAATTCTGTGCTAAAAGTGACAGCCTTTCTGTCTCCCCTAAAATGAGTGGCCGTTTCATATTCTAATTAGCAGCGTCGGAGAGACGACTAAAGAGCAATTTACGTCACCGCTAACGTGTTTTGATTCTCAGGGCAACCAGCTTAAACATTCTTTTCTATATTCCCCATTGTGCCCGGTTAATCTACTAGGCCGAGACCTTATGTGCAGACTCAATTAAAAATAGATAAATAAAAGGAGGCACCGGTCCCAAAAGTTAACTACCACTGGAAATTGACACCAAACCCTGAGATTGCTAAGTTATTAGCCACAACAAGTGAATAGTGACGCCCGCACAAAATTTGGAGGTCAACCACGCGAACGACCTAAGCTGCTCTCTCCGGTCGTTTCCCAGACAATAACTTGGAGTTTGAAAATTCATGCAGTGTAGGGAAGATAGGCTAACGGAGTACGTTTATTGAGATAGGCACCACTACCTGTGCTACTTAATGAGCAACAAAAACATTTTTATCGTGAAACAAAGGTGAAGTATTAAAGTTTGAGACTAATTTACATTTTTAATGAATCCGACCTGGCTTTATTGAAAAAGAAAAAAAAAAAATAAGGAAAATAAACATTTTTTAGGTGACAAGAG